TACCTTGCATGTCCTAATGAGTTAACTTTTTAGAAAGAGAATGATGGCCACATGACATTTAATGGTTATCATTAAAGGTAAAGAGATAAAAATACTCATAAAGTAGTTAGCCATGGGCACCCAATATCCTAAAGTGATAAAAATGATAAATAATCTATAACGTTACATGAATGGTGCAAAAATAACCAAATCATTTAACTTTACCTAACACCATTAACTTAAATCGTTAAATGCTGACTGTGCATGCCATGTGTCAATCTTTGCTGATGTGGACTAAAAAAAGTGTAAAAATACCCATGAAGTCATCGGCTAGGAGTAAAATATACCCATAACATTATCAAAATTGTTCAAAAGTGATCAATACATTCAATCCCTTAAATGTTGAACCGTTTAGTTGACACTTAAGCAGAAGTTGACTATTTTTTTTATTGATGTAGATAAAAAAATTCCAAAATAAATTTTTATGAATATTGATCGATCATTGTATGAGTACCTATAATGTTACTTTAATAGATACAATAGTGATCAATTTGTCAAAATCAATGCCATATGATTTTTTTTCCATCACCACATATCTCACCTCCTTCCTTTCTCCTCCCCTCTTCACTCATTTTTTCTTATCTATAAACTTGATATTTACATAGTGAGATAGGTTGTTCAAAATTAAAGATCGAGACTGAGTAATCTAACTTAAAACATTGTTACAACCTTACAACCTTAAGCAATTGCATTCACAATAAATTCAAAATTTTTAAATAATTTTTGTTACTATTGCAAAGAAACGAGCAATTTAATTTGATATTTAGTTAAAATAACATTTTCTCACATGACATTCATACAATAACTGATTAATTTCTAGAAAATTTTATCTGGAATATTTTTTATCTACATCAGTGAAAAAATGGTCAACTTTTACTTAAGTGTCAGCTAAATGGTCAACATTTAAAGAATTAAATGTATTAGTCACTTTTACACCAATTCTAATAACATTATGGGTATTTTTGCTCCTGGTTGATGAATTCATGGGTATTTTTGCCCTTTTTTTAATCCACGTCAGCAAAGACTGACACGTGACATGTACAGTTAGCATTCAACAGTCAAAGTTAACAGTATTAGGTTAAAGTTAATGGTCTATTATTTTGCACCCATTCATATAACGTTATGAGTATTTTTATCCTTTTTTTACTTTAGAATACTAAGTGTTTGTGGCTAACTACTTTGTGGATATTTTTGCCCCTTTACCCTATCATTAATAAGCACTATGATCTTAAAGGGAAAACTCATATAGTTAGCTTTATTTATTTGATATACTTAGCTTGTATCCAATTAAATCATGATAAATGGATCTTCATATGTTAACTAAATTGATAAAAAAAGTTTATTATAGTATAAATAATCATAAAAGAACTATGTATATTGATTTAATTAAAAAAAGCATATTAATATATAAGACTAAGGAGCTTTTGTTTTATATTTTCAAAAACTATTTGTTTATTTTAATATTTTCAAAACAAAAAAATTTGCTTGGCTAATGGTTTTTTAATTTCTATTTTGAAAACTATTTTTATTTTTTTGTTTTTAAATACAAGAAAACAAAGACAATTTTAAGTTGTTTCAGTTCTCATTTTTTTAGTTTTTTCGTCCACAGTTCCTACTCGATAAAAATTGTGCCTCATCATTTTGCTTTTGCCTCACCTTTCTTCTCTGTTGCTCTACCTCTGGTTGTCATCGCAGCCCGCAGCAGTTGCCACCCTTCTCGCCGGCGTCACCTTGCACGGTGCTCCCTCCTTTTGACAAGTCTGTTACTAGTTTTCTATGGTTACTACTCATTCCATCGCTTTCCATCTGCATTTGTCTTCATCATATTTCATTTTTTTACCCTTTCATCTTTCTCGATAATGGTGGTAAGGATGCAATCGAAACATTTCCAGAATCACCGGCATTCCATTAGAGCACCTACTTCCTGCACAGTCCACGACTCGGCATATCCTAGACAAGTCCCTGACTCATCTTAGACCATGGAAATTGTTCTTAAACGACTTGTGTGGCGTGTAGACGAAGCAAAAGAGAGCTTTTTACTTCCATTCTTGTACAAAGCTCTGTCACCAAGTCGAGTCCAACAAGGATTGGCGATGGAATCCAGTAATTTCACAATGTCTCCTACCTTCTGCTTCATCTTCTTCGAATCTCTTCCTCTTCTTCTTATTGCATCTGGCTGAAGCTATCAATGGTAGAAATTGAAGCTCATGACCATAATATTTTATTGGGTTTAGGTTGGGTTACCCTGCATGGTGGAAAGGATTTCTCTCACAGTTCTGTCTTTTTTCAGCCAAATTTCTCGCATAGATTGAAGTTGGAGAAATCACAATCCAAACACTAATGATTCATATTCTTTCACAAATCTTTTATTCCTTAAAGAGACTATTTTCTATCTTTGGATTTGATCTTCTTGTGCTTGACTTGGAACTAGTTTTGTTTTTTTTCCTCAATGGTGGCTACATTGACAGTGGTGGAAGACGATGATATCTGGATTGGGGCTTTTTTTTATGATGGCATTTTATTTTTTTATTATAAATATGAACATTTTTAAAATCCATATCCATTTCTATCAAAATCAAACAAATTTTATTATATTTTAGTTTTCAGAACTTATTTTCAATATTAATATTGCCAAGCAAGTTTTTTTTTGTTTTTTAATTCTAAAATTGTTTTTAGATTACTACCACCAAACAAGTATTTTTTTTTATTTGTTTCAAAAACAGTTTCCAAAATTGTTTTATAAAAGAACTTTTAAAAATGAAACAAAAAAACAAAACCAAACAAGCCCTAAGTATCCTATTTTCAAAAGCATTTAAGTGATGATAATAAATATCTATTTATTTTAATGACATAATTAGCAATATCACACTATTCAACGAAAAAAAATAATTAAATGAATGAATGATGTTGGACATGTAGAAGTATATTGAGAGAGAGTACAGAGAATTCAAATAATCAAAGGATATTATTCAACTCTCTCTCTTTTTATCAAGCTGGTTTATCAAATTATCAAGGGTTAATGTTTAATTTTATTCCTGTACTTATTTTTTAGAAGCGTTAGGCATTCTATACTTTTAGGTGAGATAATTTTATCTTTAAACTATTTTTTAGAAGAGCAAAAAACCCCATCCATTAATTTATTTTTATTTTTTTGCTAACGTGGCATGTGCTTAGCCCCATGTACAGTAACATATAAGACTTTGATTATATCTTTGGTATTAATTTACCCCTGAACTATTTTTTTATGATCGCAAAGTGTCCTGAAATTTTTTTAGGAATATTAGACACCTAAAGTCTTATTAAAATAAAATTTAATAAATATTATTAAAATATTAAGTATTTTAATATTTAATAATTTAAATATTATTATTTAAAACATTACTCGACCCAATTTAACATTTTTTATATTTAAATATTATTTTTGGCAGCATTTTATAAATTCACAGATGACTTTTTATTTTTTATATATTGATCTCCAATTTTTTGATATAATACTCAAATTGTTATATCTTTTATGTGTGTCAGAACTTATTTATATTTTTAATATTAGTTAAATTTTTAATTTTTTGGTCAACTAATTTCTTTATCATACCCAAATTCAAAATCAATACTCTCTATACATTATAGTGTTCTAGTATAAAAAAAATATGACAAATTAAGACAAACAATATGACAACAAAAATATTTATTTGAAAGATATATCTTATTGCATTAATATGTTACAAAAAAATTTACTTAACAAGAAAAAAAATGGAGAGATGAGAAGAAAAAATCCCTTTATTAACTTGGAGGTTCATTTACTTTATTTTTAATACAAAATTAAAAAATATAAAAAATATTAAAATATTAAATTGGGTGGTGTAATACTTTAAATAATAATATTTAACTTATTAAATATTAAAATACTTAATATTTTAATAATATTTATTAAAATTTATTTTAACAAGACTTCAAGATGTTCGGTGCTCCTAGAAAAAGAGTTTAAGAAAAAATTAAAATCAAAGGATATTGACAAAATCTTACATGTTACTGTGCGTGGGGCCCACACACATGTCACGTTAGCAAAAAAAAAAAAACTAACGATTGATTAACAAAAAAGATTTTTTGACCCTCTAAAAAATAATTCAGAGGTAAAATTATTTCACTTAATAATATAAGGTATCAAACACTCTTAAAAAAATTATAGGAACAAAATTAAACCTTAATCCAATTATTAACATCAATACTAAACATACTCGTTTGATACGTTGGAATTGAGATTGGGAATGTAAAAGTAAATCTTTAAAGTTTCTTCTTTGCCGTATAAGAACCAAATTCTCTAAGGAACCCAATTTTACAAAAAATCATGGAACATGCCCTCATGAGAACTCAATTCCATCGTTCTCACGTGGATAAATTTTTTTATCACATTTCCATCACCATGCTATATTATTTTTCATATCAATTTCACTTTCATTTCCACTATTTTCACCTTCAACAAAAACTCTTTCCTTGTACCAACCGGAGCTACGCACTATAAATATTGCAGTTGATCTTGAATTTATATAAAATTTAAAAAAAAAATTAAAGTATCACTGTCACTTGCAAATTTGCACGCTAGGTCATGTAAATTAAATAATATGGTCGAGCGATAAATATCGCAGCTCAGCTATAATTTATAACTAATGTCATAGTGAAGTTGTGACAAGTTTAGTATTATCAAACCATGCGACTGTGAGTCGTGAAATTGCACGGCAAATAGTATGTCCATTTCTCTCCCTCACGCGCGCACACATCCTAGCTCTGCCATTGTAAATTCATCAACTTCATTTTCAAACCATATTTTATATCTTGTAATGCCTAAAAGGTTTTTGTAGTTATTAGGGTTTATGAAGAGTGCAAAAAAAATTCGGTTTAAGGAGCTTTGTCGTATAAAAAAAGCAGACCCTTCTTGCCAGCCTTCTTTTTGATCAGTGCCGCGCTATAAGAAGAAAGAAGCAACAGTGATATATTTTTTTGGGTCTAAAAACAACAGTGATATTATATTATGGCAATGTGGTCATCTTTCATAATTCCATGCCTAGTGCAGGGCCATACCAGTACACCATCTCACTTTTGCGCATCTACGGTTCGTGAAGCAGACCGAAGAGCCAAACGTTGATCGATCGGGTCGATCTGGAACACGCCAGTTTAGATCGGCTAACGTCTGCCCCAGCTACACCAGTTTTCATGGCACTCCTTGCCCCTTCCGTCTTTCTCTTCTTTCTTTTGCGAGCGGAGGTTGTTCAATAATGGCGGCCAGACCTGGAAAAAGTTACCACCAAATTTTAGACAAAGTGATTGACCTCACTGGTAGAGTTATTAGCTCCAACTTTGTGGGCGTCATGATATGCTAGGGGCAAACGAGGCCAAACTTGTTCAACATCAGATGAGATCGATGCAAATTTTAAGTTTTAATCTTTCAACTTTTATGGATATAAGTAATTTCAATTATATAATAATACATTCAGGGTTATCTGAACTTACCGGGCACGAGACCTCTGCTTTTCAAACACCATCGCACGGACATGTGGTCGCCCTCCATAGTTGCCCTCACGACCATTAGATTCTTTTGTCTTTCCCACCACTGACTGGCTCTGCGTTACTGTTACCTTTGAGCGGGCAGGACCAAAAAGCCATATGGCATCCATCTGTTTGCATAACATGCGAGCAGCGTGATACGGAATCTTGATGCACCCATTCATCAAATTTATGCAGTCCATCAGGCTCTCTCTGGCCATCCCTTTCATGTCATATGCCTGTGACCTCCTCCAAAGGCTCTTGCCGTGTGTGTTTGCTGGGTTAGACAGGCTAAGAGCTCGAGTTGAGTCGCTAATGGCTGAATCTGGATCTCTCAGCGCCAGATGACATTGAGCCCTATTACTATACAGCACCATTCTTTCTTTCCTGTATCTCAATGGACAAATATCTAGTGCTTCAGTGTACTTCGATACAGCAGCTTCTACCTCACCTAACCAGAACATGTGTTTTGCTTGTTGCTTTATTGAACTTATCAAAACCTTTGCTTCCTCTAATTTTTCCTCACACATAAGTTTCTCCATATTCCTCCTGTCCACCTCAAGATGCAGCAGTTCCGGCAACGATTTTGAAATACCACGTTGATATTGCAGAAGGAGACCCCTCATGATTGTTTCCCCTACGTTGGACCTGTCTCCAAGGTTTCTGAGTTCAATCAGATCAATGAGATATGAAACTGCGAGATCAATGACTTTGTACCTCGTCTGTGGGTCCTTAAGGAGCAATAGAAGACAATCTATACCTAAATATTGCCAATCGTCCGAAGATCTCGAGAGGTTACCTAAAGCGTTGATAACTTTAGGTGAATCAACAATCCTTTCCCTTCCTATTTTGCTATAGCACAAGATTCTAATCAATCCAACCCCAGCTGGTGACGTGTAATTCATTAATCCACCCCACATTTCACACAAATCTTCCAGGAACTCCTTATCAGCTATGAGATTCAGAGACCTCTCTTTGCAGGCGAAGCAATTTAACAAGTGAAGAGACCAGCATTGAAGCTGGCTAGCCCATTCTTCGGCCTTGCGATTCTCCTTCTCCACACTCCCAGCACCTCTTGTCAGCAATTTTCTATGGTATTGGAGCCTTTTGTTTACGTCCTTGACCCCTACGAATTTAACAAAGACCACTTTCAAGCTTGTAGAAGCCACGTTTTTTGCCACTTCCACCAATTCTTGTTCGTATTCTGCTACTGCCTGAAAAGTACTCTCATAACTGGCCAGGTGTCCTAGTGCTCGAACTGCTACTCTTTGCTCAACCCAGCTCATCTTTCCTCTCAGAAGCTCCATTAGTGGTGGTATCACGCCAGACTGAACAGCAATTTGAGCATACTCCTCCTTATTTATGGTGTAAGAACCAATGATATGACCAGCATAATAGGGTGTGTATATATTTTGATTCGTAAGAAGCCAGTTTCTGTCCTTTATAGCTTTGTAGATGAGATTTGCCATGCACTTGAATATGCCAAGGGAGGGGAACTCTGGGTCATTTGGTTGGTTCATGGCAATATGCCACAGTCCACTCAGCACCAAAACATGATCTTGATTATCTCGAAGAGGCATCTCTTTGAAGAACTTCCCTATTTCTGCTCTCTTGAGGGATGTGTCTGCTTCTCTCATGGTGCAAAAGAAACAGCATGGCCTGGTGCAGATCTCATCCCGGTCAGACTCGTCGGAGATACTGTGGCTGGTGTTGTACGGAGTTTTGGGTAGGGAATTCAAGGTTGCCACACCCATATTGAATAAGGTGATATTTGAGATTTTCTTTTGAGAAGATCCAGCGGGATTTAAGTTTTAATCAGGGGAAAAGCCAAATGACATGGAAAGACCTAGCGGCGGGCATATAATTAAATAGCATGATGTTGTAATTCGATACTGTTGAAGCAGTCTCCATAAGCAGCATTGATATTTATCTCGGAAAGTTTTACCCAATTCACGTTCAAATATATATAACTTTGGCATGCATATCAATGTATGGCCACTATAAAAAAAATTCTATCACCCACCAGCAAGCTTCTTCCATATTTAATTTACTAATAATGGCGTCAAAATCTTTTGATGCACTGCATTATGAAGTTACTCAAAGTCGAAAGATTGACCGAGTGAACTGATTGTGAAACACCGTCATGGTTACAAATATTTTGCAGATTAAATAAGCTTTGCCACTAGAAAAATTTTGATAGGTACAGTTTATCCATCTATACTCAGTACTCTTGAATAGATCTATGCTTTCTGTGACACACTTTATTCTTTCTTGATCTGTGTTTGAATCTTCTCTTACATACTTCACACATCAGGAAGGGTGTGGTCCTCATTTATATCGTCTTTATATATGAAAAAGCTCATCCCCCACAATACTCTGAAGTTAAACTGGTGAAGAAAGCATTTTTCGGCCTTTAGATTATGTCAGACTTTGCTAGCTTTTGCATTTCCACTCTGGTCTAAGGAGTTGCTTGTCCTCATGTGAGGAAGATAAAGGGATCTACTTGCAACAGAATTTTCTGATTTCCTATGCAAAATAGTAATTATGCTGTCCAGCATCTAGAATGTGGGTTAAGTTCAATTGTCAATGGCTCTAATGTTCTACTCCTAGCTATACCTATGGTGTAAAGCACTACTAGCGTAGAAAACTCAGTTAATCTTGAAAGTTTGCTGAGATATTACCTTACCTTTAGCCCACAATTCTCTGGTTTCTCGAGTTAAAGGTTACGACAGTTTGAAATGTAAAAGTGGGGAGAGATGAACCACTAAGCTTCTAAAAGAGGATGAGGGACCACATTTTCAAAATAGAGAACAAGCTCCTTCAAATCAGAAGCTGAACGTGGTCCCAGAGCATGGTTAAACTTAGCACCTTCGAATAAATAAGTAGGCGAAGATTAAAAACACATTTAAGTACAAATGGTGTTGGTCTCAAGAATATGCGGTTGCCATAGGTGGAAAGCAGAACCAGTTACTTAAATTTTAGTTTTTTTTTTTGGGTGTGTTAGGTAAGATTTAGATTCAACGGCTGTATTTAATATAAGTATTAAATGTATATACCATCTGAACTATTAAAATTTAGATCAATGGTTATGAATTTATACTTCACTTAAGGATAATAAATGAGTGAACTTATCTAAATCGTTGATTTATATTTTAATGATTCAGTAGTACAGACACTCAATGTCAATTTCATTGGGCAAGATGGTATTACGATCATAAAGTGTCAATAGTATTATGATGAATTGAATTGCATGTTTAAAATTGAGGGGGGAGGGTAATTATTTCATTCCATAATTTTAATTTAGTTAAAATTCAATTTTTAAATTATGACTCCATGCAGTGTCTATAATTTTGACTTGAGCAAAACTCAATCCTGAACTTCAACTTCAACTCGAACCAACTGACTTTATAATTTTAATCATTTTAACCATTGAACCCTAATGTTTAAGAAATAATTTTAATTCAAATTTTATTTTTTGAAATGTGAAGACTATCATTTTAAACAAATAAAACTTCCTCTGATTGCTTGACGGTGGGAACCCTTTATAAGACATCATCGTGGACGCACAGCTGCTATTTCATAGAGACTGGACAATGGAGATTCACCACTTGATTAGGGAACACAATGTTATGCTGACTTTATAGCTAGATGTGTTCATAGTTATGGTGATATTTCCATTATTTTCACATCCACCAACCCAATTAGGGATACAGTCCTCTGATTAACTCAAATTGTCGGTTATATGAACTGAATTTTTTTCGAGTCAATAGAACTTAAATGCATCGATTCAAAATTTAGAAATTGAGCTAGTGTTGAACCAAACTATAAGCATCAAAAGATTATTTAAAAAAACAAAGAGAAGAGAAGAGAACATAACTATACCAAGAAATTTTGAACGATGCATATGCTACTCTTTTCCTAATCAGAAACATAGTTCTACCAACGCAGATGTTACAACCGTCGAGCAGACTGCAATTATATACGTCCTTTGAAAAGCAAAAGTATTGCAACTTGCAAGACAAATTCTACTTTGCTATGGCAATGCCAATATCCGTGAAAGATGGCAGCAAATTCCCTTGCAAGTATCACCACCATTTATAACTTACATATTAGCGCATTGAAACCTAGTCAAAAATTGTCAGCGATGACGAGGTTATAACAACCGGAATTGATCTCCAGCATCACGAGTGAATGCCTTCACAGAAAGATATGTAGGAACCGTAGCTAATAAATGATCAGCAGATTCCCAATTTCACACCTACGGTACACAAGTGGAAACACAAGCCTTGTGCTGCTTAATTGTCCACCAAAAACCCAGAGTATCAAGATTCCTTTTTTTGGGAACCGTCACTGATCATTTCTATATACAAATTTGACGAGGTAACGATCTTCAACAGAGAACTCCCTTGATAACCACACTGCTATTTGATCATTTGCCTCCAGAAACTTGTCAGCCCAGCTTCAAAAGTGTCAAGACTAGAACCTAACCTAACCCAGACCTGTTCACTGTGAGAGTAGAGACTTCTGCTTTTCTAAACATCCACTGTCCAGTTAATGTTACGGACATTGCTTTCATGAGATCTGTGTAGTTGTGCAACTTTGGCATTGTATGCGGCAGCTGCAACAGCAGCTCTCACCCTTTGACCTTGAGGCAGCTCACAAGCTTCACTCATAGATGCAAACCTTAGCTCAGCTGGAGGAATGAAACAGTCCATTGAAAGGCCGGGCACATTGAATGCCACTTCCTCGATTGTCCATGCTTCTTCCATCCTGGTTTTTGTGTGGCTCATTGCTGTTTCCCCAAACCTGAAAAGTGTTACTACAGAACGACCTGAATGAGCAATCATAATCCCCTCAACAGGCCTGTAGTCATCGAGAAAAGAATTTATCGTGGTTTCCCAATACACTGCGTCCCCTCCATTGTTTTGAATACGTGTCAAGTGTGAGTCCTCCAAGTGAATAAGAAGTCCTGTTTTCTGACTGAAGTACCCAAATAAAACATGCCTTATGATTTCAGCTGGGCCTTCACTCCTGGCTTTCAAAGTTGAGGGATCTGCACAGAGTTTGAGGATGAAACAGTCTTCTCCATTAATTTTCTTCTCCCCAATGCATCTCGCATTGATAAACATGCTTGCAGTTGTTTTTGGGTCAAGACCCTGTGGACAGAAAAAAAAAACCTAGGTTACCACATCAAGGCAGTGAAAGATAGTGGTCAACAGGTAGGTGGAATGAAACAGAATATGTAGGTTCACCTGAAGAGCCCGTCGTAGAGGCCTAACTGGTCCCTTTGCAGCATGGGCACCCAACCATGGTGTGTGACGCCACACGAGTTTGCCATTGCAACCAGCATGAACCTTGCTGCCACCAAGAGCAAGTTCCACATACCACATATCTGGATTCATCTGCCACAAGACAAACCCGCCTGATTCTGCAGCTTTGGAGGAATTCCGACTCTTCATAACTTTGTTAGCTGTCTCGAACTCCCAGGCTATCATTCTCACCTTTCCCATGGCATAAGCATTGGTGATGGAATCTTGAAGCTTTTGCCCTCCAGAAGCAGCTGTGTACTGCTGCAATATGTACTGGGCAGAAGAAGTTTCCTGCAAGAACACACAATTAGACTGTGCTGTACCCTGAAGTGAAGACCTCTAAATGCGCAGGGGCAGAAATAATCAGAAGATCCACAACCCTTCCTCTTTCCTTTTTATTTACTTTCAATCGGCAAACTAGCATACCAGTTCACTCAAAATAGACAAAATCATGTCCAACAGAAGACCAAGCAGTCAGATGCCTAATATGATAGGATTTTAGCCATACTTAAGAGCTTATTGCACACTGTTATCACAAATTTAAGTCCCCATAATATTATGAACAATGAATGTGTTTATAAAGTCAAGTTCTTATTACTTGCGTAAATAACTAGATATAAAAAACACAATAAAAAATTGCTAGACTCATCCAGCACTCAAGTTCATCGCTTCATCTTTCCATTGGATGTGAAAGCACTTTTTAAATAAAAACGAAACAAGCCTTTATTTAACCTTGATCACGATGGATTGTCTTTGACTTGTGTTGATCAACGAGAATCGTCAATGAAGTAACAAAATATACATATTTTAGACGAATCCAAACTTCAAACTCTGCTCTCAAGCCCCGTTGCAACTATATCCCGCCGCGTCAATTTGGGAAACAATACATCTAGATTCAAGCAATCGACTTTCCCGCAGACTCACAAGACCGGGCACGAACGAAGTGATCCAAATTTTGGGCTACGTAGCTTAATCTACCCGAAGGAGTTTCTCCCATTTATCCAGAAACATTTAAAAAAAAACTACAACAGAACCATCCAGCAAGGCAATACGAAAGTGAGGCCATAAATGGGGAAGATTAGGCGCTACGATAAGCAGCGGCATGTGGATACAACTTCTCAAGATATAAATGAAGGGAGCGGAAAAAGGACAGGAAGCGGAAACTCACAATGGGAATGTCTTTGATGCTGAGATGAGGAAAAGGATCGGCGGTGGAAACGTGAACGGGGGCGAGTGGGGCACCCAGGACGCCAAGCAACAATCTTAGATCGGACCTCTTACAGGCAGAGGAGGATGAAACGGAAGGTGTCCTGGCGAGTGGGCCCTTCATCCAGTGTCCCCACCGACCTTCGCCTCTGGAATCTTCAGCATCGGTGCCATCAGGACCCTCCTTCAACGGCGACAATGCTTCAGCCGGCCTCAAGCTACCCGATCTCGCAATGAACAGCTCGGGAGGCGGGGCATGGTGCTTCTTCCTGCGCCGGAGTAAACTCGACATCGGAGAGGCAGACCTTGCCGGACTCTTGGCCCTCGACCTTCCGGGAGACAACCCTCTGACCACCTCTTCTTTAAGCGCCGAAAAAAAACCCCTGCTTCCTCTCCATCTAACCCGTTTAAGCTCGTGCTCAATAACCCAGAAGTAGTGAGTAACAAGGATAACA